GACTCCACCATCAAGAAGATCGTGTCGGGGGCTACCACATTCCCTTTGACGGTACCCACTTCCGACGTTCGGTTCACCCGCAATTCGCGTTTGAAGATTTGACTCCACCATCAGGAAGATCGTTCGGGGGCTACCACATTTCCTTTGACGTTACCCCCTTCCGACGTCCCGTTCGCCCGCAATTCGCGATTGAAGATTTGACACCACCATCAGTGAGATCGTGTCGCGGGCTACCACATTCCTTTTTACGGTACCCACTTCCGACGTCCCGTTCACCCGCAATTCGCGTTTGAAGATTTGACTCCACCATCAGGAAGATCGTGTCGGGGGCTACCACATTCCCCTTGACGGTACCCCCTTCCGACGTCCCGTTCACCAGCAATTCGCGTTTGAAGATTTGACTCCACCATCAGGAAGATCGTGTCGGGGGCTACCACATTTCCTTTGACGGTACCCCCTTCCGACGTCCCGTTCACCCGCAATTCGCGATTGAAGATTTGACTCCACCATCAGTGAGATCGTGTCGCGGGCTACCACATTCCCTTTACGGTACCCACTTCCGACGTCCCGTTCACCCGCAATTCGCGTTTGAAGATTTGACTCCACCATCAGGAAGATCGTGTCGGGGGCTACCCCATTTCCTTTGACGGTACCCCCTTCCGACGTCCCGTTCACCCGCAATTCGCGATTGAAGATTTGACTCCACCATCAGTGAGATCGTGTCGCGGGCTACCACATTCCCTTTTACGGTACCCACTTCCGACGTCCCGTTCACCCGCAATTCGCGTTTGAAGATTTGACTCCACCATCAGGAAGATCGTGTCGGGGGCTACCACATTCCCTTTGACGGTACTCCTTCCGACGTCCCGTTCACCAGCAATTCGCGTTTGAAGATTTGACTCCACCATCAGGAAAATCGTGTCGGGGGCTACACATTTCCTTTGACGGTACCCCCTTCCGACGTCCCGTTCACCCGCAATTCGCGTTTGAAGATTTGACTCCACCATCAGGAAGATCGTGTCGGGGGCTACCACATTTCCTTTGACGGTACCCCCTTCCGACGTCCCGTTCACCCGCAATTCGCGATTGAAGATTTGACTCCACCATCAGTGAGATCGTGTCGCGGGCTACCACATTCCTTTTACGGTACCCACTTCCGACGTCCCGTTCACCCGCAATTCGCGTTTGAAGATTTGACTCCACCATCAGGAAGATCGTGTCGGGGGCTACCACATTTCCTTTGACGGTACCCCCTTCCGACGTTCGGTTCACCCGCAATTCGCGTTTGAAGATTTGACTCCACCATCAGGAAGATCGTGTCGGGGGCTACCACATTTCCTTTGACGGTACCCCCTTCCGACGTCCCGCTCACCCGCGGGCTACCACATTCTTTTTTACGGTACCCACTTCCGACGTCCCGTTCACTCGCAATTCACTTCTATTGGCGACACGAGAAAGAGAGACAGCGATTCGAGATTCACGAAACTTTAAACCGCGTGAGTTCGCAACGGAAGGTAAAAGGCGCCTGACTACTTCTCGAAGACGCGCGCGCCGCCTCGCAAAAGGTCGTTAATTTCGCCCCTATGACAAAAAACAAAATTCCGCCACGCAGGAGTTGTGCGCGTTTACAACATCTTTCCGACGACACCAATTTCAAAAGAATCGGACCAAAACTGTAGTAGAAGATAGGAAAAAACTGAAAAACCTTCACGTTAGTATACTACGCTCGAGGATGACGCCCAGATGTCGCCAACCCCACATCATGTAGCCATGTCCCTAAGGTTGACAAATTTCACGGCCCTGTAGATACACGTACACCCGTTGCCTTTCTACAAGAGTTCTTCTACGCGCCCACATTTGCTGCCAGCCAGCCAGCCAGCCAGCCAGCCAAAGTGAGATTAAAAGCTACTTTTTACAAAAAAATTTTTTTGCAAAAATGCGCTAAAAATGTCGTCAACTTGAGAATTTAAATAGCCTGCTTTATGGGTTAGGGTGTTTGTATTTCGCCGATTGACAGGTTTATGTTTCCTTTCAAAAGGGTCTAATTTTTCACGCCCATGTGTATTGCTAACCCGCGATATTCTGACGTCTCATTTATCTAGCTAGATGCCTGGTAAATTGTCCCCCTGGCCTGCGTCTTTATTCTAGCTTAATTTAATTGATTGAATTGAATTTGTTTTAAATTAAATTATAACCTTAACCCTAGTACTTAGCTTTTCGCCCTGTTGTCCTGTTGATTTGGTTTCTACACTGTTTGCCACACTTTAATTAAATTAATACCGCGCGTAACGTGTTTAATTCGCTTTATTGCCTTTAAAAAGACAGATTCAGCTTGGGCTTCAGTCCGATTTAAGCCCGGATCCTTCTTGCGTTCAAAATTTATTAATTATTTGCTAAAGTAGCTAAAGTAAACAAAATAACCACGGAACTCGCCCGAAACAACCGTCCTATTTGGCGGTCCACACCGAACTCCTTTTACTTTACTAGAAGCGTCTGTGGTTAAAATTTCAAAAAAATATCTCAATAAAAGAAAGTTGACATGGAGCAATCTTTTTAGTGCTCGTGTTGGAAGGCGCTATTATGTCCACTTTCATCCGTCCGTACGAAGCCTAAACTACTCCAGTTTTTAGTGTATTTAGGCACCGGAGCCAAGAAAAATCTTGACATAAATATGCGCATGCGCGGTCTGCGCAATATCAACTTTCTTGTTTATTAACATATTTTGTTGAAATTTTAACCACAGATGATTCTAGTAAGGCAAAAATATCCATATACAGGTATGCATGCCCAGACTGTGCAATACCAACTTTCTTATTTATGGAGATATATATTTTTTTAAATTTTAACCATAGATCCTTCTAGTGGAGAAACACAGAGCGGGCATAGCCAAGGCTTATTGGAAAGTTCTAATAAATGCATGAAAAATACGCTAACGTTACTCGCCTTAGGGCAAAATGTTCTTTATTTGTTTAATTTTTAAAGAAGAAAATTCAATTAATTCGTGTTACTTTCGAATGAAAACTCGCGGTATTTGCTATCCGATATTCTTTGACTTTTCAATATTTACCTTCATTCCTTTCCCGTCACTCTATTCTTCCGATTATTTCCTTCATCTGTTTTATCTCTTTTGCCAATATTGCTGCATCGTCCGTGTATGTCACCTTCTTTTTAAAAATGTGCTTATTAGTTTTATCTCCCCAGCATTTTCTTTATGGTCTTTAGAGTCTCTTTCAGGTTCTTACGATCTTTTAATACCCTTCAAAAATATTCAATAGAAGAATCTTGAAAAAACTTCTTTGCAAGCTTTAAAGGTAACGAAGGGATTTTAGAGGTCTTTAAGAACCTTTAATAGTCGCCGAAAGGTTTTTAAAGGGCTCCCGAATATCTCTAATAAGTGGAGTGTGGACACGTGGGAATCTTCAGTTTAAACTCTCCCTTCCTATACTATGAAGCTCTGCAATAAAGGACACTGCCACTTTTCCAGTTGTGAAAACTTTATCAATCAGCAAGTAAAAATAAATACAACAATCTTTCTAAAAGCACCAACTGGACTAACAGAGACTTCAAAGCACGTGCTTGTGCGGTCCGCAAACAATATCGCTGGCTTCTCAAGAAAAGTTGAACCAGCCCTCTCTGCGGAGCAGATAAAGAATCCACTAAAGAAGTCAGAGAAGGAATCTTGCAAAAACCAGAAAAGACCCGGGTTAGATGGATCCACATGACATCACACGACACGGTACAAAAAAACGAATCTTGGAAATTCTGTTGGTTTCAACAAGAGAGTGCACCTGCGCACAACGCCCTAATCGTAAGAGTATATCTGTCAGTCAAATTTTTAATTTTCCAGTTAATTTGACCCCAACGTCTCCAACCAAATAAAAAAATGGTTTAAGGAAAGGCTGAGAAACTGAGAATAGGAGCCGAAATCTTCACAAAGCAATCACATAATATGTTTTACCTAAGGCATTCCGAAAATAATGGGTGTGACCACCTACCTACATCAATTTACCTCAAAACAAAGGCCCCCAAAACCTTGGCATCGACGCACACGTATCAGAGTAAGACAAGTACAAAAGTATTCGTATCGTGTGTCAATACGAGGATGTTGGTGTAAAATTTTGGTTTCTCCGAAACGAAAGTGGCAGAAGACTTGTGGATTGGCGCACAAATCGGCGCAAAATGAGCACAATAACTTTTGAGATTTAGCAAGTTGGGGTGCCGATTTAGTCGTGCTAATATATAATCCATCTCGCCCGCACCTCTACTCTAAGCATAAAGGGGTCGCAAAGATTCCCACGGGATTCATAATCATTAATAGAAATGTCAACACGTTTTGTATTTTATAAGTAAGATGGTGAGTGTTAGCATTGAATTTATAAATAAATAGGGCGTTAGAGACATATAATCACAGAAACAAATGAAACATGCATTGGTATTTGGTTAAAGATAACTCATTAAAGTTGGCTGCGGTACGCCACTGTGTTCGTTTCAAATTTGGAAGTAAAAAATGGAGACGCTCCTGACCCGTGCACAGCCTGCGACCTTGAAATTATATTATACCGTGTCATTTGTCAAATACAAAACATAACGAATGCCGAATTTGAAACCTATACAACAAAGACCGGTTTTAAAGGGTCCGATGTACCTGCTCTTGTTTTGTAAACCTGCCTTGCAAAGTGCACTTTTGCATTTTAGTTAGCTGCATGTGATGTGAACGTTTTGTGTATTTTGAAAGAATTAACGAATTTGGACCGGATTTGCCGCCAATGTGACTATCAACGGCTTCAACTGTCTGTCCATCTTGTTTATTGTTTAATGTAACACTTTAAAAGGAAAAAAAGATGACTAGCGGCGGTATTCAATTGGCCGACACGCAAACCCCCGTCGACTGTGGGACCTTTCAGTCACAGGAAATCCAGAAAGCTACAAAAATCTACGGAAGACTGTCTTCCTGCACTGTGTACCTTCACTCTATAGGTAAGACCTTACAAGTTTAAGATGCACAAGATCTCAAATTTCGGTACTTTGAAAAACAACTGAACCTAATTACGAGCCCTGTGCCAACTTAAATTGGAGTTTTAGAGCATTCAGTTGCTATGGGTACTAGATCTGGTACTCCACATTTTTGTCATGTTTCCGTTAGGTTGCAATAAATGTTTAGACTTAATTTTTTAAAACCCAAGGTGGACAAAATTTTTTCATCTGATTTATGGTAGATGAATGGTAAGTAGGTACATGCGTCTGAGATATTGAAATTTTTTATTCATTTGAAAGTACTTTCGATGCCAACATTGTGCAATCGTGAAATGACTTTGTCTTCAAATCGCCTGCAGAATGGCCATTGTGGTATGAGCTGTGTGGCCTGTAGCGCCGTCCTGTTGAAACCATTGCTGTAGATGATTTTTCGGTAAAAGTTGGGGTCAGTTTTCAACTGCTCCAAAGCCCATTCAGCGAACACACGTTTATGGTCATCTCGATGGTCATTTAGCTTCAGGTCCTTGCAAGGGTCCCTGCTTCCTTTGATCAAGTCTCCAATCGCAATTTCTCCTCTTTAATCTCAAATAAAAAGAGCAAAGCAACCAATCTTGGAAATGGCGCTAAAAAATGTTATAGAACCTTGTTGGGAGAAAATTGCAAATATAAAAAAATTGCCTAAGGATCCCAGTAGAAATTAGTGACTTCGAAACAATTTTCATATACACATATTAACTATTATTAGTAAATAGAGGGTAGGGTAGTAGTAAGTAGTATCTTTCAAATGATGATACTACCATGAAATTTGGTATGAACCTCGGTATGATAAGGGTATTATTTTATATAAAAACACTGGCTATTTAAAATCAAAATGGCAGCGGTTTTTACTTATCACTAATAATAATTAATATTTGCATCTGTGCACCATATTGGATAACGACGGCCATCTTGAATCTCTTAAGTGGTCAGCGTTTTCATAATTTCATATAAAACAATATCCTTACAGGAGCATTCATACCAAATTTCATGGTATCATCATTTGAAAGATAGGTTAAGTACCACTAATAATAATTAATCTGTCGCCATTTTGGAAACTGGCGGCTATATTACATTTTTTAAGTGTGCAGCGCTCGTTTTAAATATAAAACAGCATTTCACACGCATTTCATGCTTGTATCATGATCTTGAACGAGCAAAGCAGTATTCTGACATATTTTAGAGAGGCAGATTTTCTTTCAAGTGCATACAACAGTAGTGATTGCTTGATGAAATCAGTAAAGCGTTTGCGCGCATGTCCCCAATTTAATTTGATTTTTTCAAATTTTAGTCTGGACTAACCCAAAACACAACAAAACTGTTTAATCAATTTTCAAGGTCTTTAAAAATGCTTTTTCCTCTCCAGGCATATTAAAAACCCCATGTTCTTTTTGCTGTAAATGAAAACTCAACATTTTGAAAAAAGCCGAGTGGTCAAAAGCTGTAGCGTGATTTGACTCTTATCTGCTTGTACACTCATTTTTCTTATCATAAACGCGCTTCATTCTCTCGCATTATGAAAGCAGTACACACAAACATTTCCTATAGCACCAAAACACTCGGTAGCCTGTGAGTAAGCTTGGTCGATACATTTCGTTAATCGCTCAAATGTCCCGTGGAATCGCGCTCCATTTACGTACGGGGTAATCCCGCAAAAATGTTGCCCCTTGTCTGTTGGTGACATCTACTCCAAAGTCCCAAAGCATTAAAGAAATCTCTATACAAGCGGTGGAGTGACAATTTTTTATGGTTTAAAATTTTTCCAAAATAATATCTCCAACAGTAAGAAAATAGAATAATTTGTATATATGCGATTATGGTTGTCTTTTCCAAACTTGGTATCTTTTTAAATGCACAAACTCTGCTATACATTTAACGTGAACAATTTTTTTGAATTCTTTTTTCCTGATTAACATTGATGTATCGTCCTCATATTTTTTTTATTATTATTATTCATATTTTCAAACATTTTTTGAAATGACATATTTTTCATACGTCAACCATTTTTATTGATTCATATCGGGTGCCTGTAGTTTACCATGGATACAATAAACCAAATCAAACATCCGATGAATCCATGGCCTACTATTTAAAAAGAGTAAAAATAAGGTTTTTATGATTTCATCGCTCAATTGAAAACAATACAGTGTGGTAACAACATTAATATAATAGGAAAAATAACACAACAAATTGATGTTAAAATATACAGGATGTTGCATTTAAAAAATACCAACTTCGGGTGAAACCTCAGAAACGGTGGTCCAAAAGTTTTTTTTCAAGTTTTTTTTACTACGCCACTGGATTCTATGTAACAATATCTAAAATAGGCCGTTTTTACCTTTTTTTAATCTTACTCGTACATCGGTAGTAAGATCTGATAACGTCCCAAAAAGACAAACTTTTCGTTTTTTATTTATTTATGTTGCCTTTATTTTTGAGTGGGCGGGATTTCAGGCGGCCCTACCAACCCAAGCCACTATACATTTACAAATATCCATTCCCGAACCCGGATTCGAACCAGCAACCCTTAGCACCGCAGTCCAGATTTAACTGAACTGCGCTACACGAGCCGGTACCCTGTATCTCACGAAACTAGATTGATTCTGTCCGTGGTTTCACAAGAAAGTATCACAGGTTCGCGAAAACGGCAAGTCTCTATCTTTGAAAACAGCTGAGATGCAGTCTCAACCAAAATAGGACACACGGTGCAATTAAATTTTATAATTTGCAAACATCTATAGCAAGAATGTAAATGTGTAATTATGAAAATTGAATGCTATAATAGTGTACTAATCTTCCAAAAGGTTTAAGCATTAAGATTACCAAATAAAAAACTTCAATCAGTTGTATAAAGAAACAAGAAACAGGAAGCAGATAAGATAAGGAAGTTCCCTGGGAATTTATGTTGATGTTATATTAATCTCCAAAACCATATCCTCCTTCACAACTGTTGGGATTTGAATGTATGTAATTAATGTAATATATGTTAGATGGCGACACCAGTAAGAGACAGATGAATATTAAATGACATCACGAATGTACATGTGTGTTACTTTCTACGCTCCTACTAAATTAATAAATAATAATTAAGACAAATCATAAACTACAACAACAACTTCCTTGTTTTCCTAATAAAAGTTCTATTATTTAATTTTTTTTAATGCGGCACTGGACCATTCATTATCGTTAATATATTTTGCAAATAAATACTAAAGTTTTGTTCTCCTGTTACCTCTCGACTAATACCTTTACTTTAGTTTTAGATAAGCCTCGTTACGTGTTAGGACGAGGCATCGATTGTGATTTAGTTATACATCCCAGTAATTTTCCTCCGTTAAGCATTAAGTCAGTCAGTAAATACCATTTCGAGCTGGTGTGTGATAAAGACGAGCGCGTGTACATAAACGACCTGAGTAAGAATGGAACGTTTATCAACTCCCAGCGTGTGAGCAAAGGATGCCGGCGTGCCTTGTACCATGGTGATCAGATCGCTATTGGGACCTCTTCTCTGAGAAGTATAGCGATTGGTATTTGTGTATGGATTCTCATTTTTTGAGTTTTAGTTTACGTTTATAAGGAAAATGACAAAATCTTGGATTTGCCAGCGGAGTTAAAGGGCTATAAGATCTTGAGGCAGCTGGGTAGCGGGAGTTATGGCGAAGTGTGGCTTGCGGTTCAGACGGTGAGTATTACCTCATTTGGTTGATCTTATGAATACTTACTTTATGGAACTCTATTAATATTTGTCAAATTTAAGATATTTAGTCAGACAATGGTGTACTGTGGTTGTCACAATTTAGGAAAAAGCTTTCAACTTAATTATCAAGTCATCTTTGCTCTCACATACCAACTTGATTCTAATAATAATAATAGGCATTTATTGAGCTAAATATGATATTAACTACAAATTCTAATGAATAAAAAAAGCATGTTAGCTCAAAGGAGCGAAAGTTCAGACTGGTGGGCACCCAAGAGGGTACCACCTTGTCTGTTCTACCACTTAACCCCATTCCGTCGAGCTTTTAATACTCGACCACAAATGGCAGAATTTCATAATTTGGTTTTGTGCCAAACTTTAAGTGACTCAACACAATTTCAAGTACTTCGCTGTCTATCAATAAGTAAAGTGTACATTGCTTTTTTAAAAGATTTAAGAGAAGAAAACTTTGAATCAATGAAAACGTTGTAATAGGAATTACAAATTTTTGAAGCATTATAAGTGAAACATCTTTGAAAAATTCAGGTATTATGACTTGGTAAAGAAGTGAAGTTTTTGTTTCTAATATTGACATTATGCATGTTCTTTCTAAATTTAATTTTGCTGGTTAGGTAGGCTGGTGTTTTCGTGGAAATGATGTTGTATAAGAGGCATGCAGCATGTAACACTTTACGATTTGACATGTTAAGCCATTTAACCTCAGTTAACTTATTACTAACATGGACATATCTTTTTAATAATAATAATAATAATAATAATTTATTACCCAACAGCCAATGCCAATTACAGAGTAATGTTACATAAGATATATTTCAAGGTTAAATAATATAGTTTGTCGTATTTTTTTTTTTACTACCTACATTGGTCATAATAGAGAATATATTTTTCCTAATTTGTGCAAGGTTATTGCAAAATATATCAATACTATGTTTATTATAATAATTGCACATTACATTACATTGCACATTTTTAGACCAAAGACAAGCCTAAGACAAGAGTTTTGCATGCGTTGCACTCATTTGACGTCATTTGCGTCCAGGCATGGGCCGTATACAGTGCCACAAAAATTAAAATGTGACAGAACCATGGATTCGCAAAGCATTACCTTAATTTTACGATTGAAGCTGTGCTTTAAATTAAAGATCATTTTTAGATTTAGATAGGCTTTCCGAAGGAGTCCTGACACGTGACATTTAAAACGAAGTTGATTATCAACCACAACACCTAGATTTCTGACACTGTACACTACAGGAAGCAAAATGTCTGTAATTTGTATTGCAACTTGCGAGATGTTATTGTGTCAAATAACATGGCACTGCACTTGTTAATATCAAGTTTTAGACCGTGCATTTCAGAAGTGTCTACTAAACTCTGCAAATCAGAATTTATAAGGCTATTCGCATCCTCAATTTATGAGCTGGAAACGTATAGAATAACTGCATGTCATCCGCATACAGGTGATGCGGTTCTACTCTTCTAAATTAGTGGACTGTAGTTTTATAATATTTTATTTATTACACATTACACAATGTACATATTTACACCCATGTGTGTCGTGAACGGACACTTGTCACACATGTTCTGTCGAACTGTCTCAAGACCTACCCTCTATTCGCATTATAATTAGTATGGTGGGGTTTTGTCCCTAACATGCTGGGGCCACCAAAACATTGACATGTTGTCGTAACTGTTACCTAAAGACTAACGACTTACCACTAACAGGGTTAATTTTAAGGCTGTAAGTAGGTATTTATAATATAAAATGTTTAGGTAAGTACATTTTCTAAGATTGAAAAGCTACAATTATGACAAATAAACGGCTATTACTGATGCACCATACTAACGAATAAAAACAGATCTTATAAATACGAGTATGCCACACAGATAAACCTTGTAGCACGAATCTCGAGCCTGTTAACACGCATACTAAGTCACAAAAAGCACACGCGCATAGATTAAGCCCGGTTACTCATTTTCTTAACGTCTGAGGTTGGCAACACTAATTGGGCATATTAATTTTCTTAATGCTAATTACATATTATTGATCGGTAAAACATCTAGGTACCTTAATCAGAATCTTAAGTAATCTTTTAATTATTCATATCAATATTCTTATTCTAGGTACAAATTATTAATCGTTAAAACATCTACCTTACTCAGAGTCCTAAGTAACCTTTTAATTATTCATATCGTTATCCTTATTCTATAATTACAAATTATTAATCGGTAAAACAGCTACCTTACTCAGAGTCCTAAGGTAAGTGCCCTTTTGGGTTTTTACTTCTACAACCCTAACCTTTTGATCTTTGCCATAAATTATTTTCGTAATTCTTCCCATCGGCCAATATAACGGCGGGATATTATCTTCCTTAAGAACAACTAACATGTTTTCTTGAAGATTTGGACGATTTTGTTGCCATTTAGGTCTATTTTGTAGCATAGTTAAATAACTTTTGTGCCACTTCTCCCAAAACTGTTGTTGCATTTTTATGCACCTTTGCCAATAATTTACTCTATTTTCGGGAATTAATGTCAAGTCAGGTTGGGGATAACTTGTAATGGGTACCCCAATTAAGAAATGGGCTGGTGTTAAATAAGATAAATCTGAAGGATCATTTGTAATTTGGGTTATCGGTCTAGAATTGAGTATACCTTCTATTTCCACAACTATCGTATTTAACTGCTCATACGTTAATAAAGCCTTTCCAGCAATTCTTTTTAGATGAAATTTGGTACTTTTTACCCCTGCTTCCCAAAGTCCTCCAAACACGGGTGAATAGCTTGGGATAAACTTAAATTCTATACCTTCGTTTGCAGCATAATCTATAATTTGATTACCGTGAGATTTAGCCCTATCGTACAACTTGTTTAATTCAAGATTCGATCCCACGAACGTACCTCCATTGTCACAATAAATTTTGGAAGGCTTTCCTCGACGTGAGATAAATCTCTTCAATCCTGCCAAAAAATTTTGCGTAGTCATATCCGACAAAACTTCTAAATGAATTGCTTTAACAGCAAAACATACAAAAACAACGATATACGCCTTTGTTTCAATGGCTTTACGAATTCTTGACTGTTTGATACTAAAGGGACCACACAAATCAATACCTGTTATAGAAAATACTCGATTAGCATTGACCCGATCTTGGGGAAGAGATCCCATTAGCTGTTCGGCCATTTTGGCTTTCAATTTAAAACATACAACACAAGCATGAATGTGCTTTTTTATTTCACGGTTTCCATTAATTAACCAAAACTTAGAGTTCAAACTACTCAATATTTGTTTTTGCCCAGCGTGACCAAGCCTAATATGTTCTTTGTTTATTATTAATTCTGTAATTTTGCTATTTTTAGCTAATATGATAGGATGCTTTTGGTCGTAAGGAATATTTGCTTCACTGAGCCTGCCACCCACGCGAAGCAGACCAAAATCATCGATAAATGGGTATAAACCTTTTAATGTTGTCTTTATATCTGTGTTGGAAGCTAAATTTTTTATTTCTGTTGTAAAATTATTTCTTTGATCACTTTTTACAACTACCCTCAAGGCATTTTCAAGCTCCAACGGGATCAAATTATCAGTCCTTTTTTTATTTTTATTTTTAATGTTATAAGGAAATCTTAAAAGTAACGCTACTATCGTAGTTTAGTAAAGTTAGAGTACCTCTCAAACAATTCATTTTTTAAAACGACTGTTGTCAAAACTGGTTTTATTTTTTCTTCTTCAGGTAATGGATCTGTTATTTGAGGAATATAATTTGGTTTATGGCTAAAAGTGCCTTCTTGTAAACAAAGTGGACCGTGCCACCAAAGATGGTGATCACTTAATGTTTGAATGTCTAAACCTCTACTTAAACAATCAGCTGGATTACTTTTTGTGTCAATATATAACCAATTAAAATTTTTTGTGTTTTGTTGAATTTTTAGGACTCTGTTTGCAACATAGGGTTTTAATTTTAATGGGTCAGACTTTATCCACGCTAACGTTATTGTAGAGTCTGAATATAAATATACTTCTTTAATTTTTTCTTTTAATATATCATATAATTTTAATACTAAATTAGACAGAAGTAACGCACTATTTAGTTCCAATCTGGGTACCGTTAATTTCTTATTAATTGGCACAACTCTTGATTTGGACGAAAGCAACGTAACATTCACTGCATTTGTTTCAACATTATTATTTATAGTTCTTATATAAACTACTGCTCCGAAGGCATTTATAGAGCTATCACAATAACCTATTAACTCAACTGTATTTGCATTAGTCATACTTAAACTTCTCGGTACCTTTAAATTTTCCATCGATTCAATATTGGTTGTAAAGTCGATCCAAAATTTCATTAAATCGGTTGGGACCTTATCATCCCATTTTAATTTGCTTAACCATAACCTTTGCATGAACATCTTAGCTTGAACCAAAATTGGACCAATAAGTCCCAATGGATCATAAAATTTACAAATACAGCTGAGAATTTGACGTTTGGTAACACATTTGTTCAAGTTACACTTTGGAGCAGATATTTCGAAGTTGTCGGTGACAACATTGTACGTCAAACCTAATGTTTTAATAGTGTTACTATTTTTGGCAATATCTATTTTGTCATGGTGGCGTTTTTCAACAGGAATGTCCTCCAATACGTTATTAACATTTGAGGACCACTTGTGCAACTCAAATGAACCTAATTTCAAAATGTTTATTAACTGAGCCTTTATTTGATTTAAATTTTCTGTCGTGTCACTGCCTGTCAAAATATCATCTACATAGGTTTCATTTAACAAAACCCTTGCACCTAGAGGAAAGTTTTGTTTCTCTTGGTTCGCTAGCTCCACCAAACATCGAGTAGCTAAAAAGGGTGAACTACGCAGACCATACGTTACAGTTAATAGTCTTATACATTGAAGAGGCTCACTAGGAGTATCCCTCCACAAAATATTCAATAATTTAGTATGCTTAGGATCAACCAAAATTTGTCTGTACATCTGGCGAATATCAGTAACAAAAACAAATTTGTGTGTTCTAAAGGAAATTAAAATGTCAAAAAGTTGCTTTTGAACAACCTCGCCATTGTACATACACTGGTTGAGGCTAATATTATTTTTTGTTTTCATACTTCCATCGAAAACACATCTAAATTTAGTTGTAGTTTTATCACTTCTTATGATGGGGTGATGGGCCATAAAATAGTTGGAACCGTCAGTTAGATTGCATTTGCTTAGATCAATCACTTCTGCATGACCCAACTGTAGGTACTCATCAATGAACCCTTTGTATTGCTTAAATAAGTCACTATTAGTTTTAAGCCTTTTTTCTAAATTGATAAACCTACTATAGGCCACCGAAAATGAGTCACCCAAATTTAATTCCGAAATATCTTTTTTTAAGGGAAGTTCAACCTGAAATCTATTGTTAAGTTTGACAACAGAATTTTTGAAACTATTTTCACAAGCAACTTGATCGTTTTCAAATTCAGGGAAAACTTCGGGTACTTTTTCAGTGTCCCAAAAATTACTGATTAGGTTTTCCATATTTTTTGATTGCGCCTTGCGAGTCAATAACGAAACAGACAAGTTGCACCATTTATTTTTTGTTATTGCTGGTATTTCACCGCTTACGATGTACCCAAATAGTGTATTTTGCAATACTATACCATTTGTGCCTAATTTAATGGTACCCGTAAGCAAAATTTGGAAAAACACACTAGCATTTAATAAAAATTCAATTTTATTAGGCATACAAAAATTATTGTCGGCCAATTTAATATTATGAGGTATATTATTCACTGAAAACTCTGCATGCGGCAAATCACAAGTTATTTTGTCAATTATTGAAAATTGAACATTCATATTGTAGTCACAGCTACAAGAATATATCTCTGCGTTTATTGCAGTTGTTACCTGATGCGAATTTTCTGATACCCCTACAATAGTTAAGTTTTCCTTATAGATTTTTCCATCTATTCTTTTAGCCAATTCAGCCGTGATTAAAGAACTCTCGGAACATGAGTCTACCAAACCTCTAGCCAACAAAAATTCCCCATTTTTCTCTTTAAATTTGAGCACAATTGTTGGCAAAAGAACTGTAGTGCTAATTTTCTGGTTTCGGCTAATTAAGCCTACACTATTTTTAACTTCGACCTCATTTACTGAGGTATTTTCAAAATGCAACACTGTATTATGAGAAGGGCTATTGCAAGTTTGGCATTTAAACGAAAATCTACAATTTCCTAAATGATTGTTTAGACAAAGCTTACAGCAATTATTGTCTTCTATAAATTTATTTCTTTCAGGAACAGTGGCAGATTTAAATTTCGTGCAATTATAAATTTTATGCCCTACCTCGCTACAAAAAATGCACCTTAACTCCGTTTTTTGTTTATTATTTCTTGCCTGCTTAACAGTAACATTAGATAATTTTTGTTGTTTTGTTTTTGTTTGTGACTCAGATCTGCCATCGGACGAAGACATTGATTCAAGAGCCATAGCTCTATTTTCCAAAAATGTTAAGAACTCTTTAAGAGTAGGTGACACAGTATTATCCCTATCAATTTGAAAACCTTTATGAGTGTACATATCTAATTTTCTAGACAATATACACACTAACAATGAGTCCCAACTATCCACAGGCTGTTTTAAATTTTTGAGTGCAGTTACCTGCTGCTTGATCTGAGAAACAAACTCTCTTATAGCTAAACTAGTGCTTTTTGTTAAAGCGGGGATGTCTAAAATTTTATAAATGTGATTATTTATTAACAAATTTTCATTATTATACCTATCATCAAGCAATTTTAGAGCTTCTTTATAGGATTCATTAGTGACCGGTAAGTTGGTAATTAAGGACAGCGCTTCACCCTTAAGATAGCTGCGTAAGTAAAATAGCTTTTCTACCTCGGAGAAATTTATGTTCCTATCAACTACGGCGCTAAACAAATCAAAAAAGGGTTTATATTCATTTAAGCTACTTCCATTAAATGTTGGAATGTTTACATTCGGTAGCTTGGTTGTGGGCACGGGACCCGATACAACTCCAGATTTCTTAGAAACATTACTACTCGAAGGTGAACCAACATAATTTTTAGTTGTATTAAATTTAGAAATTAATGAATTTATAATGGCGATAATTTCAAAATATTTCTCTTCTACTTCTACAGAATCTTCACTATCTCTTTTATCATAAGTAGAGATTTCGATATTTAAGTCAATGTACTTTTCAAAATTTGTTTCTAATTTATCTTTACGCGCTAAAAATTGCTCGTAAACAAGATCTGTAATTTCCACATTTTGTCTTTCTAAAATATATGTTTCTAATCTACTAAAATACAATTTTGATTGTTGTCTTTTCTCTTTTAACAATTTTAACTGCTTGGGATCCATTTTAATGTTATGGATAATATTGCCAACAGATGGTAACTTGAAAGGAAGTAATACAAAAATAAATGAGGAGGGAACTCACGTTCTGGAATGTAGTCGACCAGTAAAGTTGTCTTGTACCGCGTGCAGTGACAGGCCTCCAACACAATAATTGATTGATTGCGATGCCCTTAACTCGAATCGCCCTACACGTAGGTAAATTTTCGACGTCCCCGTCTAATGTAACACGTCAATACGTAACTTATTCTTCCTTTCTTAATCCGGTAGATCGAATGACCAAATGATGCGGTTCTACTCTTCTAAATTAGTGGACTGTAGTTTTATAATATTTTATTTATTACACATTACACAATGTACATATTTACACCCATGTGTGTCGTGAACGGACACTTGTCACACATGTTCTGTCGAACTGTCTCAAGACCTACCCTCTATTCGCATTATAATTAGTATGGTGGGGTTTTGTCCCTAACAACAGGTGACACATACAATGTTTAAGACAACCTTGTATTTTGCTGGTATAGATGATGTACACCAATGGTCCTAAGACAGATCCCTGTGGTACACCAGCCATAACAGAAACAGAGGTAGACACATTTCCATCAAGCCTAGTACACTGAGTGCGTTTCTGAGAGACGTTTTGGATTTCTACTGTTGTTACTGGGCATATGCCTCGAGTCTTGTCTATCCCAGGATAATCAACCATCTTGTTTACAATTATTTTGTTGTTGTTTTATTGTGGTATATCATAGCTGCTTTGTGCTCTTTATAGTGGTTGATTTTGTGGTACTTTTATGGTTTGTAGTGGTTTAGTTACATTTACTGGGGTTAGAAACCCCTCTTGTAGAAGATAAATTTTATTCTCTATAGCACTGGTAAAAATTTTACACGTAGGTCAGTAATGAATAAATTTTCAATGATTCTTACCTTTCCGAAAATTGGTCTTTATCTCCACTTATAATGTGGAAAATCCCCAAAAAAATCGACGTTTATAACAATGTACACAAATTCAATTTATCCCTGAGTTGTAATATTCTTCCATTGACAGTTGATTTTCTCCTCTAGAAGGGTAGCAGCAATTTGGAATTAGGGTCAATAAAAAAATCTGGACGATTTCTTTCAGTCTTGTGTATGGATATAGGCGGCCGCCCTCAAAGTTGGGTAATGAAAAATTTCCTTTTCATTCCGAAACATGCATAACAATGTCTCCTTGAAACAAACAACTTGAAATCAATACCTCAAACCATTTCAGCAGCAGAGCCTTGTTCATTACTTTCTAGCAACCCTGTATAGACTACATACTATGCTTATTTGAAATGATTCAATTTAGTTTAATCAATATTTCAGAAACATTTATTTTCCAAGTTAATAGTACGCCTTGACCATCCCTCTGTATGTACAGGGTGAGTCAACGATTGCGCGGAGTAACTTAATGCCTTGAAGATAAGATTTTTCGATAGAGTGCTTTTGTATTATGATATGGTTTAATATTCTCCACATTTTAAAAATATTTGGAATTATACAGGGTACGCCCACTAAGTAGGGCGCCAAAATGGTACATTTTCTAAATAGAACCCCTTGTATTTGAATACATTTTTGAATTCTACGTGTAATTGTACGTCTTTTTTATTATATGGTTAATATCCGAAAAGCTAGTAGTTTTAAAGATAATTCAATTTTTAAGAAAAATTGGGCATTTGCATCAGTATATATTGTCAAAATTTTTACTTAAATTTTGATTCCAGGTTTTATATCTTTTATCCTGGGTTAAGTAAAAGTCAAATAAATACATCTACTATAAAACATTAAAAAAATAGCTTACAGGGTGTTTTTTTCTAGATCCAAAGTTACAAAACTTCATATTAAAAAATCTCACTTTTTTAAATGGAACACCCTGTATATTTTTCTGTCAGGGTGGTCCATTTAAAAAAAGTGAGAAAAGTCCCTAGATTACTAACGTGATTCATTAGGCCAGTGTATAGATAAAAACAAACTGCTAATTGAGCCAAAATGGCCGTTTGACAGCTAGTGCCAGGTTTGACATTTGTTTTGTATTATAATATTTGTGTGTACATTCGGGAGAGTACTGATGTAACCATTAATTCATTAGAGAAGCGCATCTATGCACTTTTACAAGAAAACAGAATCCGAAAAAAGAAATTACTCAGAAGTGAAGACAATTTTTCGAAAACGTTTAATGAAGATCAATTAAAATATTTAGAATTGGGTACACACAAGGGTTTTATGTGGAGTGGTGAAACGATTGAAGAAGCGATGCAACTATGTTTTTCTTGTGATGTTAAATGCTATTAAACGATATGCTCACAAAACTTGCCCTATCCAAAAGTATCCGCACAATCCAAGAGCGACTACAAAATACATACTTTCCAACTGTTCAATTTCAAATTTCGCGATCCCCAAACGGAGCCAAAATGGCTGCTATTCGCGTTACTTTAGTAATCTAGGGACTTTAGTTTTCACAGTTTACGGTGGTTTTCATGACAGTGGCAATAATACGTTATCTGTCTATTTTCGCTGCGTCCTGTCACTTTACCGGCCGCATTTGTCACATTAGTAATGTCTAATGACTCCTGTCATGACTGACAGATTGACATTAATCAAAAGTTTTATATCAAATATTAAAATACTATTTTGGGCTTGATTTTGGGTAAAATTTAATACAAAACTCGTCAGTAAAATGACACTACTTGACTCGGAAATAAATATTTCCTCGCCAGTAATGTGTCATTTTCCTGACTTTTATGTCAGTTAAAATAATTCATTGACAAAGCTACACCCTTAAAAATCACAATATTTACGATTCTTCTTTAATTTACCTTCAGTAACAATTACACATACACTTACGGTTTTACCTACATAGTTGAGTAAGGTTTTTTTGTACATTTTTCACTTAGGCTGAGGGCCTTCAGTTAACTCCTTCAAATACAAAAACGAAAGTTTATTATTTTCCCATGTAGAAGAAGAATATTCAATAAAAAGCATAAGTTTCTTGAAAAAAAAAATAGTTACCTTACACCCGTGTGAAGAATATTTTATATAAATTGTTTGTTGACATCCCCGCTATAGTTTCTGTCATAATCGACTGTAGATAAATGGAATTTTGGAACTGATAGTCGCAACTCAAAAAAGAAATGACTGCTACACTCCAATTCGTCCCGCTTATGCAGGTTCAGTTAAACCCCAATAAATTATTCCCTGAAACTGATATCTAGGCAAAAATGTGTGCGTCAAAAATTTGTGAACATGCCCAAAAAACGGTGATTGTAATAGCCACCTAGCTTCAGCTAGGAAAGTTGTTTTTGACAAAACGCGTCTCGTTACATAGTAATTGAGTTCCACAAAGTAGGTACGTACTTGAATTATAGACAAATTGTGGTCTTTTCATTTTGCAACAGATGGTGGACGATTATGAATGATCGGACTGGCACAATCTGTTTTGTACGCCACGGTAAGACATTATATAATGTAGAACTTCCTGAAAGGTTGTAGGTGTTGGCCAACTGCTTTCCTCTTTTGCACCAGCTTCATTGTCTTTGTTCACCATCTGTACATCTCCTTTTTGCTCGATACTGATCAATATAATTTTAGACAACCAATAAAGAGTACGCAATAAAAAAGGTAATTAGGAGAAACGAAAATCAACCAAATAATGGGAATGATTCGTGGAGAATGGATAACGAGGTTAGAATTCTTCAGTCGATCGAACATGTAAGTATGAGTGCAAGCTTTACGTCCACATTTTCATTCTCGCAATGCAGCCGTGCATAATCGGCATAAAAGAAGTCGTCAACACGGATGACGCCGTCTTTATGGTGTTGGAGTATATGGGAGGCGGCGAGTTGAGTAGCTTAATGTACGCGTCTAATAGTCCGTTACCTGAAAACGTGGTGAAGCCGATCTTCTACCAGCTTCTATTGGGTATTAGGTATTTGCATTTACGTAATATCACCCATCGCGATATCAAGGTGTGTTTCTTTGACTGATTGAGTAGAAATTATCGATTATTTTAGCCGGCCAACATTTTGCTGCAATCGCATCAATTGCCGCCCATCGTGAAAATTGCCGATTTCGGATTGAGTAAGCTCATCGAAAGTACATCACACATGCAGACGGTTTGCGGAACGTTGGCGTTTGTGGCGCCCGAAATTATCGATCCATGCTATGGGCCGTACACTCAACAAGTAGACGTGTGGAGTTTAGGTGTGGTTTTGTACGCGATGCTTTCAAACAAGTTGCCGTTTAAGTAAACGCTGCTAATGATTTAGGTGTCTCATTTTTACATTCGTACCATTATAGCGCGGCGGAAGACGGAGATATACGAAAGACGATCCTGAATAGTCAACTGGAAATGGTGACGGGGGCGTGGACGTATGTGTCGAGCAATGGGAAAGATCTAATAAAAAAAATGCTAATGCGAAATCCGGAGGATAGACTGACGATCCATCAGGTTGCAGACCATCCATGGTTGGCACGGGTAAGTTGTGTAAGACGAACTACAGTCATGCCATCTAGGTCAGGGGTTGGCAACCTATTGAAACGGAAGAGCCAAAAATTACAATTTACAAAATTTCCCAGTTTTTAACCTTCCGGTAGTGTCGCGACATTTTGCAACATATTTGGTGTCGGCGGTGTGTGAGACCGCGGTATCAAAAGAAGCTTTTTTTAAATGTAAATTAATCGGCAATTATTTTCTAAGGTGTGTTAATAGGTGTAGAATTTATTTTCAGTATACCGGCGTCCATTTTTCGAGTGCCATTATGGGGATCTCACTTATCTTAAGAGATAGAACGTTGGTTAAATGGGGGCAAGCCAATTTTCGTGCTGAATAAGAATCTGAAAAGAAATTTGAAATAACTTCAATAGTTTTGAAGATATCACAAAAAAACGCAAATTTCCGAGTTTCGTTTTTAATTTTTTTATGATAAACTAATAGTAGTAGACATTTCTAATTAACACATTATTCGGACACTTTATAATGGCGATTTCAAATATGGCTTCCTGTTTTTCATTGCTTTCAAGATGACGGAGATACACGTGGCAACTTTAGTTTTTCTTATGGGCGCCATATTGAATTTTTGACATTTTGAGATTACGTCTTTTTTTCTCTTTACAACGATATATCACACATGGTGGTTCAGTATCACATTTTTCCTAAAAATACGAGTGCTTTGAAAAAACAAAACGTTCTTTTGTTGTGAACAAAAGGTGTTTCAACGTGTTCAACGTGTTTATAATAATCAAAACGAAGAAAAAACGATTCACGTAAACGAAGACGTCATTAGTAACGGCGGTCTCTCACACCTCAATATGCGCGCTCTGTAAGTATAACACCAAAAACAGACCCAAAGAGTATATGTACAACATCCAAACTGTGCTAGTAGCTTCAAAGTGTTCTAAAGAAGGCAAACCTAGCCCGGATGGTAATAACTCGGCCAATCTTCTGATTCATACACGATTGACGTTTTCTGCGGTCTCAGAGACCGGGCGACACTAACGGAAGGTTAAAGAGCCACAACAAGTTTTTGATTCAATATTATAGTATTTGGCTATATACAGGGGCCTGCAACAGTGCGTCGGTTTTTCCTACATAGCTGATACGTGGAAAAAATATTGGCGGTTGCGGATCTACAGAAATTATTTTTGAATGTACAGGGTGTCCCATTTTTACGATCTCAATAAATCACTGATCTTTTTAAATAGAACATCCTGCATATTTTTACTTGTTTCAGTGCCATTTGTTCAAAGTGCTATAACTATTCTTTTTCAAATGGAACTACCACTATTTTATTTCGCTATTCGCTTTTGTCTTCTCTTAAATGTTTATAAGGGGTGCCCTGTGCTTAAACTCCGCAGTGTTTAGGTTATTTCACAAAAGTACCTACTCATTAATTAATTACGTGTTTATACATCGGAGTAGGCTACTATAATAAAAAAACAAAAAAATACCAGAAAGTAAACAAGTGTCAAAAATTAGATAATTATTTGCTGCAAGTGTACTTTTGATTTCGTAAACAAATAAGATTAATTAAAAAGGCGAATTTCGAAAAAATGAACTAATTTCTTTAGATAAATACGGAGAGCCGCAGATTGCTGACCCCTGATCTAGGTGAATTGCTGCACTATTAAGATGTGCTTATTACCATTTGCATTTTAGTACAAAGTAAGAATGATTTGGATAGTTGGAGTGTATGACATATCGCACTAACCCATTATTGACACACAAATTTGCTTGACTAAAATTCGTCGTGTTGATTTAAAATCATTGTGTACTACGTTATTGCGCTTTTCAATTATTTGCGCGAGTTCATGAAGAATGGATTAGCACGCTTTTTTATGGATTTCTGTTTCAGTTCAGAAAGTTTCTTTCGGGTAAATTGAATAACTGAATTAAGGCAGTTTACTGTGAGTTTTTAAATTTTTCATTTCTTTTTATTACACAAGTCATTTAGCAATTTAGTTAAACTTCAACCGATGGCGTCATGGTTGGCGCGATCTTGAGTTACCAGTTTAAAATTCTTGTTTCATTATCCCACACGCCAGTGAAATGGCAACTCAGTGCGCACGAGCGGCGTTCTACTTTTGGCTCTCTCTCACATACGTTTGCACAGATTTAGTGGCTGTAGGCTACTCGCGATTCTGATTAACACTAGAGGCGCTGGTGTAATTTACAAATGGCGCATATAGGTGGTAGCGGCGTTTTTAAATGAAATTGTATTAATTTGAAAGTGAAATGAGTTTATCCTGCCGTTGCGACGAACTTTCACTGGAAACTGGGCGCAACGGGACGCCACCAGAAGTTTTCAGTCTCTCTTGCTTTTGGACAAGATGTGGTCGGCGATGGTAAGCTCCAGGAAACTCGAATGGAGAACGGCGGTCCCAGGAATTCTAAAGGGCAGGAGGCAGTCTGCTACTGGTGAATGCTAAAACAAACAATTTCCCCAAGCGGAACAGTTAATAATTGGATTCGGTAGCGGTTTGTACAGGGAAGCAAATGCAGGAAAGCGAAACATTATAGCTCCCCTTATAAATCATGAAACGGAAAGTAGCAGAAAGTCTACCTGGTAATTAACGGAACAGCAGGAATTACTGTGCAAGAAAAAGCAAAAGCTGGTCCCGTAAACTTAATGTAAAAGCAAAAAAGATGCAAAAGGCAAAAGATTTTACGTTTCGTTTAAACTACCAAATGCAAAAGATTTAAATAGGGTGTGGTAGAATTAATTTCAATTAAAACGAAAATTGGACGGTGCTGATGAAAAGTAAATTGACGGAAAAGCTAGCTACGTCCTTGCTACAAGCAAAAATGGCAAAAAGATCTCAAAGCTTTCACCTTATATAAAGTTCAACTATGCTATGGGAGAGCGTAATTGGTTATCTACATCAAAAAATTACAACTTTCAATTAATTACGTCCTTCCCAGGCGTGTTAAAAATACGGGACTGGTGTCAAAACTCAAGTTTTGTTAAGGGCGCAGCTAACGGATGTAATCTCGACTTAATCAGAGGCTGTTATCTATACCCGTTCAACTAATTATGATTAATTATACATATCCCAATTGTTTTTTTAAATGGGAGGTCAAACGGCGGGGCTCCTATCACGTTGATATTTCCGTAAATTGTACGAGCTTAATACTCAACAACTCAATAAGATTGATTCTCTCTCTTCTTCCCTGACAAGAGAGCTTTCAGCGGCTATATAAACAATTTGAATATTCCTACGAGAAACGTTGCAAACGGCGGGTTAACTACGGCAGTATTTACGGTAGCGGCGACTGAAGCACAATTAAAATTAAATCAACTCCTAAACTTTCGACACGACAATCTTCGTAACAAAGCACCCAACTTAAGACGCTTCTACCTAGAAACCAAGTGTTCATCTACAGGGTGATCACTAAAACTGGTCGTTTTCGGTCGGAGAATGGGTCCTTCGTTACACCGTTTTCGAGACTTAAATGTGTCTCATAGGTAACGCTTTATTGTAGCGTAATTACACTCAAAGAATGACTTATAACGGGTTTACCAATAAGAGCGATAGGATTTTAAATTGAAATAAAACACAGTCAATTTGGTCAAATTTAGGTTTGATTGGTTTTATTAGATGCTGTATTTCATGCCATTTATGATTTAAACAAAACATCGTTCAAATGGCCACCGCGGCTCTTTCTGCACTGGCTCATCCGATCGGACCAATTTTCGATGACTCGGTGGATCATATCGGGTGGAATGGCAGCTATGGTCGCTCGAATGTTGGCCTCGAGCTCGTCAAGAGTCTTGGGTTTATTCGCATAAACCTTTGACTTCACATAGCCCCACAAAAAGAAGTCCAATGGTGTTAAATCGCATGATCTTGGCGGCCAATTGTGGGGGTCATTTTGAGAAATCAACGATTCACCAAACTGTTGACGCAATAAGTCCATTGTAGCGTTCGCTGTGTGGCATGTTGTTGGATAATTTCCAAGCGTTGAGGCAACGTGAACTTGTTCATGATGAAATGGCAAGCCTTACTGATGACAACTGACAGCATATGTTAAATGTTTGGCATCCAACATAGCCGCCTTAAACGTTTAAAATCCTATCGTCCCTATTGGCACAGACAACATATACTACAGACGGTCAATCTTAAGGGGAAAAAGCACGCCAAGTTTTGTTTCACATGTCCCCTTATTTAAAAACCTGCTATCCCTCTATTTTGCTCCATCTATTAGCGCATACAACAATGTGTTGGTTCTTCTACAGATTTCTTATTTTGGAATGGTTTTGCAAATTGTCTAGGGAAAGAAGTATTGATACTTTATTGTTAGAAAGCTGTCCCACTCTCGCAAGAAATCCCCATATTTACATCTGGGCGAAGTGCTGATAATCTTTGCAGGTACACATACAAAGCAAATATCACTTTATATTCGCAATTACGTATTACTCGTTGTCTTTGGGTGCATAAGAAACGATATAACTTGCACCACTTTTCGAATTCTCGAAAAAAGTGTAATCTCCGTTTTTTTTTTATATACCTACGTACTCTACTTGCCTACTTGTCTCTCCGTTTGTGGAATAAATCTTGCAATCAGCAATTTAACTTCATTTAACTTGGGTAAAGAAAACCTAAACATAAGCAATTTTCGAATGAATATTTGCCTCATCATGTAATAAATCCCATTTGAGGTGTGCAATTATCGGTCAATTACGGCGGTAATTGCATTGTAGAAAACGAAAGAGCCCTGCGCTAATTGCACATTTCATGGGAATACACTTAACAATTTGATAAATAGGTAAGGTGAGTTTGTAATGTCTATTCGGGAAATATTCCCCCGAATTACACTCGTGCATCAAAATAAACCTGATAATTTTTAGCGCATTTTCCAACGAAATTGGGTGCGCTACTGCAGCCACTTTCTCTGTCCGTCGGTCTGTCCGAGGCCTTAACTACTCCTACAGTTTTCAAGATATTTAGTTCGTTCTTTTAGCATTCGGTAGCGTATCG